ACACACGCAACAGGGCTCAACTTAAAACGCTCCTGTGTGGTTACGCCAGAGTGACGACGAATGTACGGAGGTGCAACGAACCGATCGAATCGACGGGATGTGTATCGTGTCCGGTGTCCACTTCCGTTCTCCGAACAGCGACGAGTTTTCCCCGCCCGGAAAAAAGCAAAACCGAACGTAATGAAAATCGGGTTTTTGAGAGTAAAATCTTGGCTCGCCGCTGGCGTGAAAAAAAGGTGAAAGAGAGGAGATTGGAATTTGATAGGTTTAATCGTCGGTTAAGAGGAGGAATGTCGGTAGGAAACGCGAGTTCACCATCGTTGTTGGCAAAATGCTCTGATCGTTTTAACAATGGAGGACCTTGGAGGACAAGGCGCATAAGTGCAGTTTTTGCTATCTTGAGAAATACGCATTTGAAGTTTCGAAATTACATGGATCTTCATGGCGGAAAGAAAGTTCAAACTGACTTTTTGATGCTTAAAAATTGGAATTTGAGAGCGAAGTTTTCACAGTCTATTTAGACTCATTTAGACTAGTTTTACTTCAAATCATTAATATCTCATTTTCCCAAACACTGCACTTATGCACCTTGTTCTTCAAGCTCCACAATGAATGTACACCCTATTTTAAAATGAACCTATAAAATTTGACGAGAAGTTTTTAGAGAGGATCGCTTGGTTCCTTCGTCTTCAAAAAATGATTCAAACCAGAAATAACTTGAACTCTGTAATTAGTTGACGATTCCATAGGTAATAACTGACCGAGACGTCTGCTCTTGAAAATTGATCAGGAGACATGCCCCTTTCAGCAGTAATTGTCTACTATCCCTTGACAAATTATAAAGTTATTTCGATTGAATTTTGCATCAAAGTGAATTATAACTAGAGAATATTAAAACGAATACTCTTGAGAACCTACTTTCGATATACATTCGAGGACAAATATTTTCAAATAAAAATAATTTCTGGCTCGTTTACCTAGCCGGTTACCGGTAGTTTAATAAATCAGATTCAGGGTGTAATATGGACAACGGCGAGTTGTTTCACAGTGTACGGGGTAGCTCACAAAGTATTTAAAAAAAGGAGAGAAAAGAGAGTGCGGAATCATAAAAACTGCACTGACATCAGAATTTAATTATCATTAAATGCGCTCGAAAGCGCTTCATGATTTTCCATCTTTTTAATAATGTAAGCTTTTGAATTTTCAATAAAACAGTTTGCCATTGCGCTGTTTATGGCTCACTGCTCATGCTGGGGTACATATAAACCACGCTCCGCCTCCATAAACTGTCACACAAAATTCGTCGTAAAAGATAAGCGCGCATGTTTATAAAAATATTAGATTAACCTCATTGTTCGATGAGTTTTTAGCGGTCGGTTGGTCAAGCTCCCTGCTCTGCAAAAAAGGTGGCGACTAAGTTGAACAATTTTTCCTTTCACCCATGAAAATTCACTGACTTTCATGTGGATGCGGCTTCATGCACTCGGCGCGATTTAGTGAGTTTTCTTCTTCTTCAAATTGGATTTTTTCAATGGAAATTTGAATGAAGTAAGTGAAGGAGGCGACGAATAAATTCGAGTCCAAAAAACTGTTTCGATTGGACCGCGTTAAGCAGAAAGGAACCAACCCACATCAGCTATTGCCAAATTTAACCGGACAATTTTATTTTTTACATTAAAACGGTTGTGCGGATTTTTTTTTCAAATTTCGGTGAATTTTCTGCATAGTAGGAGACAAGTTCCTTGAATATTCAAAGGAATCCGCACAATGTTCTCCTGTAAAAAATGAAATCGCCCGATTAAATTTGGCAAAAGCTGGTGTGGCTTACTTCCTTTCTGCTAAACGCGGTCCATTGTGATGTAAGTATGTACACTTTGCGACATACAATTTTACACCATATTGATAGCATGAGACCATTCTTTGCACCCCTAAGTAGCTCTGTAACAAACTTAATGCACGAGTGGTTCAAATCCATCCCCCCTTTCTCTCATCTGTGCCTCTCTTCCAATTAGGAGATCCTTCAAGAGTGATACAACTTGAGTTTTTCCCGAAGATAGCGTGTAGCAACCACAAATAAGAGCCAAGTGAAAATTGTAAATTATTTCCGGGGGTCCTCTTGTTATTTAGTATTCACGGAAATGTTTTATTGTCGAATCGGGGACGAAAAGATGGGTGACATGACAGCTTCATTGTTGTATTGATCGGATAATGTTAACACGACCTGGTTTACTGGTGGGACCGAATTTAAATTAAATTTGCATTTATGTAAATCTTGTTTCTGCTTTCTGACAAGGATTCTTAGGCGACGCTCCAGATTGTTGACGGGAAGCTAAAAACACGGCTTGAAGTTTTACGAGTGTTTACGCTGTCGGTCTCTTGCGACTAAACGTTGTACCCACTAAAAACACCGAATACGGTCAAGCATTGGAAAGTTCGTCGCATTAAATTTTTTAAAAGTGCTTTTAAAAATCGGTCAGGTAAAATCCTGTTTTACATTTTAGAGTTGAGACAGCATTGCAAAAATTGCATTACTAACGAAATTATGTCAAGTTTATAAATGGTTTACATTCGGCAGGAGCATTCGCATTTGAATCACATTTAAAAATACCTGTTCCTACCGTCTACTCTTCTCACGAGAACAAACTTGGAAGCCACAATTTGGACTTAATGTTCTTCTCACAAAAATGCATGACTGCAATTAGTTTGTTACGCCAATTTTTGGGGAGTGGCAATTTTTCAATTTAAAATGGAGATCAGTCGAGTTATTTGCAGTTTTGGACCGTCGCGTCGGAGGAAATATTGATAACGGCGCAGAGATACAACTATTCGTGCTTGATGGATGTGCGTGATGCATCTGGAAAATTGAAGGCGCGATGGCTCGTGCCGTGAACTCGCAATTCTCCGCTCTACGCTGTCAAATGGATCCCTTTTCCTTCTTCGTACCTAATATAAAGGCGTCCGGAATCATACAATTTTTAAATATATACCTATGCTACGAGTATTCTTATGGTATTACCTATTTTCACTTACACTGGAAAAAAAAACCACATTGGATCGAGAGTCCAGACTTTTGAAAACATTGACAAGAAAAAGGACTCTTGATTCAATCAGATTTAAGCTTAAATCAAAAGGAAATCCGCTCAAATTAAGAGGCTGGGTTCTTGATTAAAGCTTAAATCTGATTGAATCAAGAGTATTTTTTCTTATCGATGTTTTTAAGAGTCTGGACTCTAGATCCAATGTGTTTTTTTTTTTTCTTTTTTTTTTTTTCCAGTGTAGGTATAGTTGAAATCCATTTTGCTAAGGGTGATAACCATTTCCGGCTCATTTTGGAGACAACATGTATGTCGTTAGTTTTCCAATATAGATAGGTGCTTTTATGGATGAGTTAGAGATAGCAGTTCCTCATTGCAAAATGTAGTCCGATCGTGCTCTCAAAAGGTGGCAACGGTGATTCTTCGAAACTTCTATCAACCACATCCCAGTCTAAGCTTCCCGCATGTAACCAAGGGAAGGCGAATCTCAAAATAAAATCGCTGATTCTCTTTTCGAAACCCTTTTTCCCTTTTTGTTTCCAACTCTACTCCTCCAACTATACTTTTGCTCCGGGTCAGAAGTTGTTTCAATCTTTACCTCGAGGGATACCGTACGTGGACGTGTGCCCGCTCCATCGATACAAAAAAGCGACCGTTGTAAAACTTCGATCGTAAGAGCTACATTTCCTCGCTATCGGCAGTTGCTCGAACGTGACGTTGTTTTGCCCGCTGAACTTTCTTTTAGAATTGAAACTAAAAAGATGACATTGTTTTGCCTGTTAGGAGAATGCCACTGCATCGGAATCGGCGAACAAAAGGGAGGGAATGCATAGAAAATATTGTAAATAGTCTAATGAGTCATGGAAGAATCGTGCTTTGGTGGTTGAACATCAGATATTCGCGAAAAATAATGAGATTAGTTAGAATCGCCAAGTTTGTACATCCAACAGCAATGGGAATATTATTAGAAAACGCGATGGATGGAGCGATGATGCTAGACGTGGGGCAACTCAAATACAAATTTGTGTTTTATCATCGATATGAATTGAAACCAACATGGAAGGAACTCAGACATGTATAGCTTTTCAATGACGTAGGTAGCTTTGATAGCGCCAATAGGAGCGTCTCTCTAACATGTTCAATCACGGCTGTAGGTCACCATGACCATTCACCATGACCAGGAGCAAAACAGAAAACGGTCTAGTTTTCTTGTCTGCGACGTCCATATTCTATAGATAAAGTGATAGGCACAGAAAACAAAGAGATAGAGCGATTCTATTGGTTGAAACGGGTAGTTTTCATTCAGATTAAGGGGGTAAATCGTAGACTATAAATATTGGATCTATCGTGAGTTGTTGTGATGTAGTCTTTTACAGCTCCTCTATTCATTGCTCAGGATCGCTCCATTTTACTTCGTCTCCGTTGCCTATCACTCTGTCTATCAATTCGTTGCCCTCGTGACATAAAGGCGTAACTACACTCTGCAATGAAACCTGCGGGCTGATTGTTGAAATTTATGGACAAAGCAATAGACAAAGAAGACTAAAAGGATATGGAGGGATTCTACTGGTGGAAGCGGGTGGTTCCAATGGATGAAGGACGCAGGTAACAGACAAACTAGCGGCAACCCACAAGACCCTCTTAGTCTACAAGAACCACCCATTTCAACCAATGTGATCACTCCATACTCCTTACGTCTTCTTTGTCTATAGCTTTGTCTATCAATTTCAACAATCAGCCCGCTGCCATCCATGCAACTCACTGCTTTTCCGAGCTCATCTCAATGTGTAGCTACGCCTTTATGTTCGCCAAGCGGCGAATCTCAATAATCAGCCCTTAGAAGTCCTCGACTGGTAGCGTTACAGTCTAGTGCATCCTACACGACGGTGACGTGTGAGAAGTTGCGATAAGGAGATGAAAGGAGGACGGGGGAGGTGGGCGGCGAGAAAAAGAGGAAATACTTACAGTGCATCTCTATGGAGACGGAGGCGGAGAGCGGTTGACTAATGTTGTTATTGGAAGCTTGACACGTGTAGACAGCCCCCAAGTCGGATCTGTTGAGTCTGCTTATCGTGAGTTGATTATCCTTCACGTCCGGGTAAGCCGTCTCCGAGTCGGAGGAGTCCACCATGGCCTCGCCCCTCCACCAGATGACCGATGGCTTCGGCTTCCCTGCAACAATCAATTACCATCCGGGAATTAATTCCGATGAAATCGAGATTAATCAAAAGTGTCCCTCGCGTCAGTCCTCGGTCAAGTGATTGAAGACGCCCGACCGAAGCGCCGCGCGTCAAAGACGCTCCTTACTTTCCGATGCGGCCCCTCGCGAGACCAGGCTCGAGAAAAATCCCTCGCGTTGAAACCCTTTTCAGTTTCACACTATCAGACTATAATCGGATAGCGTTAGCCCTAGTTTAACAGACTTTGGTCTCGCAGATCGAAGGTTTGCCATAACGAGATGGAGTTGAGTGTGGTCCTTGCGTTAGAAATTCGAAGGCGAAGGAGACAAAGAAGAGGAATAAGAGGAAGAACAAGAAGGACAAATAAGAAGGGAAATAGGTTAAAGAAGAAGAAGAAAGAGAGAAAGAAGAAGAAAAAGAGGAAGAGGAGGAAAAATGAGAGAGAAGTAGAAGAAGAAGAGGAAGAGGAAGAAAAAAGAGAGAAAGAAGAAGAAGAAGAGGAGGAAGAGAAAGAAAAAGGAGAGAAAAGAAGAAGAAGGGGAAGAGGAAGAGAAAGGATGAAAAACAACTTAATCAGCCAAAATACACATAATAAAAGAACAACTTAATTTGGGGAAAAGGCTGCAAAAACAACAAAGGATAAACAAAACCCGGAACGTTTCAAAATAGTGAAAATTTCATTTTCAACCGGAACAAAAAAATGAAAAATAAAAACGAGCCTTTGATACGCTGTTATTGCTAGACCGAGACTCAAGAGGGAAGAGAAACTCAAGAGACAGGAGAGAAAGAAGAAGAGGAGGAGGAAGAAAAAGGAGAGAAAGAAAAAGTAGAAAAGGAAGAAAAGAGAGAAAGAGGAAGAAGAAGAACAAATAAGTAGGAAATAGGTCAAAGAAGAAGGAGAGGAAGAAAAAAGAGAGAAAGAAGAAGGAGAAGAAGAAGAAGAGGAAGACGAAGAAGGATGAGAGGAGGAGAATAGAGCGGAAACCTAGGGGGAAAAAAGGTAGAGGATGAGGACATTGATGAGAAAGAGGATGAGGGAAAGGACGAAGAAAAAAATTATTCTAATCTTTGGTCCTCTTCTTTATCACTTATTTTCAGTGATTCTTCTTCTACTACTACTCTTTCTTCTTCTGCGTCTTCTTCTCCTCCTTCGGATACGTCGATGTATTATTTGCGTAAAAACAAGTTGCCGTAGCCAGCGAGCGAGCGCGGCTCCGCGGGAATCTTTGTAAGATTGAGAGACACCAAATCGCCTTCAATTTTAAGCATATGCATCACGCATAGTCTTGGAGCTGGTTTTCAAAAAAAAAAGATTAAATATTTTGATTAGTTTACTTTTAAGGAGATAAAAGAGAATTGCAGATCGTTAAACTTTGCAATTATTGATTTGCACATTTCTTTCATTCGGCGATGAGAAAAAGTAATTCCGACGCAGTCGCGACTTTCTGGGCCAACCGGTACTTACAAACTCACGACAAAAAATGGAAAAAAGAGAGAAAAAATAAATTAGAGGGCTCGTAAGTGATGATTTTTTTTCAAGGCGGCAACGCTGGCGTGATTGAGTTGAAAACCGAAAGCTTGGAGGGATCAAGACAGAGGCTCAAGAGCCGGCTAAAAACGAGGAGAGTGAAGAGGGAGGTGTCGTTTGTGAAACATTCTCATTTACTCAATTGCAGCATATTTCAATTGAGCCATGGCAGTGCGGAGAGTGTTTTAACGCAGATTGCACGCCACGCAACTGCAGCACTTTGCCCGTTGTTCCCCACCCGAGTCCCGGCCCGCGCCGAGCTGTGCGTAAAAGAAGGAACAAAACCAGGAATTCCAACCTCCTCGTCGCAATCAAACGCGTTTGAGTGGAAAAAAGCTCCACTTCAATTGAAACTCCCAGGCATTCCGCCTTCCTCAATCGCCCACCTTCCGCAGCTCCCTGGTTTCCAGCCAACTTCATCCGCAACTTGAAACGTCTGTATCGTCCGAATATTTTATAGTCGTGACTCGAATCAAAATTATACTAACTAGAGGGCCCCGCCTCCTGGCCGCTACGCGGTCCAACCCTCGGGGCGATGCGCCCTCCAAAGGCCGCTTCGCGGCCAGCAAAATCGTCGAAATCACCCGTTGGCGGTTAGTGAGCAAATCATTTTAATTGTATAACAAAACGATGTTTCAAAGAAAAATTTCCTGCCAAACAATATTCTTAATGACTTTCACCTTACTCTGAATTTGGATTCCATTTTTGGAAGTCGACCGTCACAGGGCCACATATAGCTGTCCATGACTAAACAAAGGCCTCTGAAAGTAAAGATCCACTCTACTAAAACTCTGATCTTTGAACCTCCCTTCCTCACCCCATTCATCGAGCGTCTTAAAAATGATTTTATTAGAAGAGAGAGGATTTTTTATTAAGATTATATTTTTGTCAGAATAAAAATCGTATGAAGTAGTGAGTTGAAATTCAGCCTAGTTTCTACTTCCTGTTTTTATCATGCATCATTCAATGGGCTGCATATCAGTAACCCAGAGCCACAAGGTACCTAACTTTGTTTTAGTTTTTTCGAAATATCAGGAGATAACCGCGCGTCGCAGCCGCAGCACCATTGATTCCAGCGTAAATCGCAATTTTTGAAACTCCGTATCTCATAACCGGGGTACACTGGGAAAAAAAACACATTGGATCTAGAGTCCAGACTCTTGAAAACATTGACAAGAAAAATACTCTTGATTCAATCGGATTTTCCTTGAATCAAAACGAAATCCGCTTAAATTAAGAGGCTTGGTTCTTGATTTAAGCTAGATTCTGATTGAATCAAGAGTACTTTTTCTTGTCGATGTTTTTAAGAGTCTGGACTCCAGATCCAATGTGTTTTTTTTTTTTTTTTTCCAGTGTAAGACAGGGCTATCAAATGTTCCACATATATGTACACGGAATCGTTGATGTAGATTTTGAAAACGCCACTTACTCGATTTTTCCAAAAAATGTGAGTTAGATACCTTTTAGTTCTGGGCTACTGTTATTATAAATGGAGCAGTGCTTGTTGTTTTAAAAAATGTTCACTTTATCAGGGTGTCTACCAAAACTGACTGGAAAAAATTAAGTACTTTTACATTACATTTTTAACACTTTTCCGAAGAATTCAGTACCTCATGAGCAAAAAAATTTCATTAGTCTTTTTGTGCATTTGAGCTGATTGATGATTTGAGTTTCTGCTATTTAATGATATTTTTTACCACTAGTTTATTTTTAACTCTTCTATAAAAATTATCGATTTGCTAATTACAATCCTATAACTATAACCACACTATAACTATGCGGTCGAAGCTGCAGCAGTGGCAAAGGAGACCCGACAAAGCCAGCGTGAAGGCTACTTCATATCGCATTGCTAAGGCGCAACGATACAACTATTCGAACTCTCCGGAATGCGTGAGGTATCACACCTCAATTGAAGGCGTTTTCAAAACTGCCAACTTTCCATATCGGGATTCTTGTGTCGGAGCATAAACTTCGGAGCATGAGATAAATGGAATGACTAATCTTACGAGCTAGTGCAGCAGCTATGCGTTCATCTCCTTGTTTTCATTTTTTGTTTATAGCTTTCGTTCCAGTTAATGACGAGCATGTAATTTGCACGGATATTTTTCGTCATGTTTGAGCTTTTAACAGGTACACCTTTTTCACTGTTCTTTCTTTTATTTTATGAATTGAGTTGCTTTTATTCAGTTATATTTCTTACCACTTGTTTATTTTGAACTCTTCTATAAAAATTATCCATTTGCTGAATACAATTCTCGCTTGAACACACTTAATATATGCTGTCAAAACTGCAATAGCGGCAAAGGAAATCCGAAAAGGCCAGTGTGGAGGCAATTCTTCCCAAGGCGCAACTATACAACTATTCGTACTGATTTGAATGCGTGAGGTATCACGCCAATATTGAAGGCGTTTTCGAAACTGCCAACTTTCTATATCGGGATTCCTGTGTCGCGTAGATAGGGTGTCTACTAAAATAGGCTGGCAAATATTAAGTACTTTCATTGTGCTTTTTCGGTACCTTTCCTAAAAACTCAGTGCCTCATAAGCAGAAAAATGTGGTATTTTTTGGTACCTTTCAGTGACGAAATTCGAAAATTGTCGAAATTCACACGTAAATCGCTTGAAAAGTGACGTAGCCAGGAAATTCGAAGCTCATTGGTAGCCTGAAGATTAGACTGGTTTTAAACTCTCGATCTAGCGGGAGAATACCGCACTAAAGATAATTATTCTGCCGTGCTAAACTAGAACGCCGTAAATCCATCAAGATTTTCCCGCGTTTTTTCGAACTTAACGCTTTATAAAATAAAAACTGTTTTACTTACGCGCCTCACATTTTCAGGTTGAATTCTCGATATTATTTGAGAGTGAATTCCGTGAGAATATTGTCCCAAAGTACACAAGTTTTTCTGCTACGATACATTTTTTCCAAAAAGTTTAAAATGGCGTTTACGGCGTTTTTGAATTGCACGGCAGTATTGCGCAACGGATTGCATATTTTTTCAGGCTGTTTTAAAAAGTATTGTGCCCAGCATTACTAACTCACCACCAACGCTTCTCAGAGCACAAGAGAAAACCCTCTTACAAAAATCTTGTGGCGGAGAGCAAGACGAATAGCCAAGTATGGGAAGGCTTAAATCTTTCGGTGAAGTATTTCCTTAATCCAGTGGCGTGGCGTGAATTGCGATAAATCGATTGTTATGCCATTTAAACCTATGGTAAAGAATCGATTACTAAGGTGTTCGCTGCGAACACTCTGTTTATCGATCCTTTTCCATAGTTTTAAATGACATAACGATCGATAAATCGCAATTCACGCCACGCCACTGCCTTAATCAAAACAAAAGCAAAGAGTCCGGGAGAGCGGAGCTCGGCCCAAGTTGCATCTAAAATTCGAAGCAAAGTTTCGAAGACGGACCGGACTCGGCCGAGGAGCAAACGGAGGGAGTTCCAACCCTATCAAAAAC